TTCACACGGCCGGGTGGGTGAGGTGGTGGTGGTGGTAGTGCTCAAGTAGGAATAACGGAAATCGCGAATCTCGGTTCATTGAGCTCGCATAATTGTCACTTTACGGTTGAGATGATACCAGATGCTTTTAGACAGTTGATACGGAATGTGAGTGTATGCGTTACAAGGGGAGGGTGTTGGTGGACAGGCAGGTTATTGAACCACTGAGATCAACTAACAAACTTTCACAATTCAAACACAAGCCGATTATTTTTCATAGTCTATCAAGCAAAACAAATTTAACACACTTTTAGTGGTAGTTACCGATCTTCGAGTTACGATTGCGCTCGTTAGCTCTCCCGATGAACAACGGGGTGTGATGTCTCTAAACAAAACTTCGGTGATGAATCCACACAACGACCGAATGAGATGCTACTAACCCCAGTAAACTTACCATGAAGACAGATTTTCGATTGAAATAGTATATAAAAGATTAGGATAAAATTGTCGTTGTTACTCAAGATCGTTTCTTTTCGTTTGTTCACGTTGATAGCATGTAACTTCAAAAAATCTGTCGCCATGCATTGACAATCTCCGTTGGTTCAGAAGAGATGTTGTAAATGGTTTTCAAGTTGGTTATGAACACATCGCTGCAATTCCCTCGGTGCAGTCAGTGTTTTCTTCTACGACAGCCATGTATGTGTTCAATTTCCACATTACTTCCCCCCAATCCCCCGGGTTATATGCATCTCTCCGTATGCGTTTTTCTTTATTCCAACAGGTTTGGTTCAAAAATCGCCGAGCCAAGTGGCGCAAACGTGAACGACATTTGGATGTGGTTCTTCGCGGTGGACTAGCCAATCCGTTTGTACCACTGTTTCGTTCCGGTGTTCTAACACATCCGAATACGACGCTGGAAAACTCTGCTACCGGGGTCGCTCTGTATGGATCGAATCACGGCTTAGCGTATCATCGAGGTGCAATGGGAACAACTCTGATACAACCACTAAATCCGTACACGATGACCTCTCACTCATCATCCTCATCGCCGCCGGCATCAGTACTGTCTTCTACCGCCCCACCACCTCCACCTTCCGCACAAACACAGGGATCCGGCTGTCACCGAATGCATGCATTCAGTCC